AATATTAACTAATATTAAAAAAAATATAATAATTACATCATTAAAAAACCCAATTATGTATATGATAGCTATTTAAAGGAGGATATACCAAGAATGAAAAACTTTTGTGAGGATAACATTTATCATCTCTGACAGTGAGAGGATCACTAACCATACCAAAGATGAGAGATATATACCCCAAATCAGCTCAAAAATTTAAGTTCTTCCTGTGCAATGCAAGAAATTAAAAGGGAATATTCAAAATTCAAAAGCAACGGCTATATTTCCTGGGGGCAAGGGCGCCATGCCCTAATTGGTGTGGATTCCTCAAAGTATGTTTAATTATTGAAAAGACTTTGGGCCATTCACACAAAAACCATCAGAAGCAGAGAATAAAGAGGGAAGAGTGGGTGAAGCGACCAAAGTTTTTTCCACGTTAAGAATATTCAACGTGTCTGGTTAAAAATATGGTGATTACGATTCCTCCTTATCAACCCTTTGGGCAAACAGGCAAGCATATTTGCTTACGTGGCACCGAATTTGTTCACCATGTCAGCAAAAATTGACCCCACATTCCAAAGTCAAGGCCCACCAATGGTTGACAGATAAATTCCCTTGGTTTCCATGTGCCGACAGATGAATTCGCCAGTTTCTTAGCTGGCTTTGTTAGTCAGCGGATCTACATCCTTACATTGCCTTGATGTATTTAAAAAGTATTTAAAAAGATAGATTTTTATAAGCATTAATTTTAAAATTTAAAATTTGAATTTATCTGAATTATTCTTTTGTGCTAATAAATTCAATCTTTAGATTCTTCCTTTTCTTCTTCGCTCATCTTAGAGAGGTAATGGTATTGAGTTTTTTTTTTTTTTAATACAAATAAAAAAATGCAATATAATCTAAACTATACAATTTAGATTATTAGACGGAGGTAGTTAGATTCCCTAATGTTAAAAATTATTCATATTTCAATGATTTCTATTTTACAATTTAATATAATTTGAATAGTAAAATATAAATCTCAAATACCAATTAACACCACAATTTACACGTTTGTGGCATACAAGCTCTTCCAGTAAAATTAGTAAAAAAAAAAAAAGCCCTCAAACTTGCATTGTATTCTGTACATGTCTCATACACGCTTTCTGTCCATAACATTATTTGTCTTAATATCAGATTTGTTGAAATATATTAGCTGTCTATAATATTACTTATCTTGACTTGAGACTTATAGTTCTATTGATAGCTTTCTTGCTTTGCTAGAATGCCTTGTAACAAAGTAGACTGAGAATCTCTTATGGTAATTTACTTTATACGTACTATTCTATCTTGTTTTTGGTTCAAATAAGCATCTAATCGAGATTTAAGAGTTTCTCAACAAGATGCGTCAACCTCGGGTTGCTTTACTCCTAACCTCATGAAATATATATAAGAAAGGTAATTAACCTGGAGCGTCACGATGGCATATATGTGCTGTCAATAATATTACATTATCCAGCTTTTACTTAAGCCATTGCAATTACTAATTGCAACCTAGTTCTGGATCCCTTTTTATATGGTTTGATAGCCATTAAAGTCCCATATTGATTGGGAATAGAGGTGAAAGAGCTTATTGCTAGTATAGCCAGCTCATCTTTCACCAACAACGGAGAAAGAGTTTCTCACAAAAAGAACTTGCAGTTCGAATAGTAATAAAAAATCATTAGCTAAAGTGCGTAAAAGTATTATGTTCGAAAACAATCCTTTCGATTACGAGAGTATTTGTTCCAAAATAAAAACATTATCAAAGACAATCTTAATATCCAACAACGGATTTGTTCCATATTAAAACACAAATTATTCATGACTATAAAATTTGTAAGGAATAACTAGAGCTTGAAATGTCTCATCATTTACAAAAACAACGTGTAACCCTAAGCTCAATATTGGAACAAACGCCCAAGCTAAATCCAATACAAAGACCATTTTCGTCTTTCACTTAGCTGCTTCAATGGCTCCACAAGTGAGAGACCCTTAATTAGTGTCAATGTTACATCTAAAACAAGTAAATCAACTAGGATAGAGTTTAAGGTCCTAATTTAAAAACCTTTCAAATTGTAAAGTATAGCTGTTAAAAACATTTTACTTATTTACAACACATAAGATATATAGTCCCAGTACATAGAAAGTCTGCATAAAAGCTATGTACAGATCTTGCTTAATTTATGTACCGAAAACTATATAAGATTGTTAAACCTCTAAGTTGAAATAGACTTGCACCTTCGCTTGATTTTCATAAAATTTATAAGAAATTAGAAATGTCTTCCAATACAAAGTTATAAGAAGAAATGCTGTAGTTTTTAAAACGGGTCAACTTAAGAAAAGTGCTGCAGTTTTAATCTCCATAAACTAGAGATTTTCAACAGCAAATATATATGTATAGTTAGTACAGAATTTTGCTAAGGAAAGTTACCAGTCCAGTTCCTTTCATTATATACATGTTTATTAAGTCTTTGCTTGCTTTCAGAAAAAAAATACAAAGTTTTCTTACAGCTCTTCTTGCCTTCAAAACAACAAAAGTTCATAGTTCCCTGATTAATTTTGCGGGACATCAACTCTTTTTCAATGGGAAGATCATTTTCCTCTCCGAACTTGACTGGTTTTGGTGGGGGAAAGAAGAGGGGGTAGTCGGCAGCGACAAATAATTGCTTAGAAATGCTACAGTTTGCAACTTTATTTTTAATCACAATTTTAGGTTTTACCCTATAAATTTATAAAGAATCCTTTAAAAGTTGAATTTGAAGTGTTTGTTACTTTGTTTGGCTAACATGGTATATCTAGGGGTTTTCTTTTTTTCTCGAGGGCAACAATTTATTTCAAATCACATTAATTACAGGGCATGTTCTTATGCGTGAATAATTAACGATTTGGATGAGTAGGACCTCCTATCCATTTCATCGAGTATGTACATCGGACCCTTAAGATGATGCGTTGAGGCCACTCATTCATAACCGCCATGATATTCAATTGTGCCTTGCCTCACCAATCAAAATGATGTTATCTTATTGATGATGTGAATGAATGGAAAGTATATAAATAAAGAGATATAATGATTGAATATATTTGTAAATAAATGTTATTGACACCATACGACAAACTTGTACTTAGATCAAGTATGTTGTAATGACTTGACAGCTATCTTGATATATTATAATATTGAATGGTTGCAAATTTAACCCAAATGAAGAACTCATGCGCGCGCTAAGATATGTACACGTTGATTCCACCTTCTTCATGTTGAAATTTGAAATGCTTCAAGGCACACTTTCTTTGACATGCCAAAGGCATTAAGAAGCTTCCAATTCCAAATTTCAGATATTGTTCTAGCTAGATATCAATTTCTCCATACCCCACATGTATAAACAAAATCTCATGTTGAAATAAAAATAAATAAATAAATAAATAAATAAACTCATACACTTAATTTAATAAAACAAATAAAGATAAGTAATTGGTAATGTTCTAACTTTCAGGTGCAGAGGAACATACTTCCATCCTATGCCTTTATTTTTTCAGATAACAAGCCACCAGGCTTTTTTGGTTAAAATGATTTATTTGAAGTTAATATGCCAAATGTGTTTTGAAGCTCCAGATGATGTGGTATTTGTAACATCCCTGATGATTTTGTATTTGTAATGGGCAGGAGTACCCCTTCTCCATAAAATAAATTTATCTTTGCTGATAAAAAAAAAAAAACAAGCCACCAGGCTTCCCTTCCCTGCAACGGTCCGCCGCAATCCTTATTCCAATTAAATTCATCAGATCAGAACATTCCCCTTTTCCGGGGAAATAAGTAAAGGGGAATTCAAGAAGGTTTCCGCTAATCTTACCCTGTCTGCTCTCTAGGTTCCCGATTTCCCCACAGGTGTCAGTGCATTTTAGATAAATTAATATGGATTTTTCCGTTTAATGTTATATAAATATTGTAAAAATTTATAATCAATTTTTATTGTCAAAAAATCATAACCAAGTGTTGTATGTATATACACAGAAGTGATTGGAAGTAAAGAATTCCAATTTGATTCGAATGTTGAATTGCTTTTAATTTATTGAACGGAAAAGGAATCTAAACAAGGAAGAAAGGAATTTTCTTCTGGATGTGCATTATAAGGAATAAATTCGCAGATGAAAGAAAATATTTTCCCCTCATGTTTCTTTTCTTACTGTCCTACATGCACCCACACCACATATAGCCTGCTTGGGGAAGGCTTATCTACGTGCCCCTTGGAGAAACCCACGCAGGCATCCGATGTGGTGTCTCTGTACAGATGTGCACATATATAGACACATCAAACACGTGTGTAGAAGGTGGACATGAATCAAAACTCTTGTTTGCTTTATGATCTTTGAACTAAGATTCACATGACTTTTAAAATTTAAAAGTCAACTTACTATTATTGATAATGGTAGTTCTTATATATCACTAACAATCACAAATTTTTCTTGATGTTTTGATGTACAATTTAAGACATTGCAATCTCCTTCTTTTGAATGCATGTGATCAGAATGTATTTATCAAGCACAATTTATTAACCTACAATTAATTTCACATAACCCAACCATATCACCACCATCCAAGATGCCAAACACTCAATGCCCTTGTTCAATCGAGGGCAACACCTTAAGAGCATAGGTCAACAAATATAGCATGGCCCCACACCTACAAAGAGAATGGCTTTAACATCTACTGAGACACTTCAGTGTCTAGAGCAATGCCGTCCCTTATCTAATACTCTTTCTAGTATTTTTTTTAGTTATCATAATTCATCAATTTTTGTAAATTGACTTAATTATATATAGTAAATAAAAAAGAATTAAAATTTTTTTAATTCATTTAAAAATAATTAACAAAAACTATGCATTAAAAAAATTTCAAATGTCATTTATTTACTATGTAAAATTACTTAGTTAAACTTTATACAAAAATAAAAATAAAATAACGAAATTAGACAAAAGAAAATAACTTTTTAAACCAACATTTACATAACACTTAAGGTGCATTTGGGATTGTTATGAAATATTGTGGCCGTGGCTCTAATTATAACTGTGATTATAACTGTACTGAACTGTATTATACTCTATTTATAACTAAAAATTATTTTGGTTTTTGGTTATTTATTTCTTAAAAGTACTATGGATGAAATATAATAGGTTTTATTAATTATTAATTAAAATTTTTAAAATATTGTAAGATATATAAT